TCTGTGATAACAGACAGTGGGTTGCAGATGCTGTCTGTTCACATTAAGTTGTAAATAACCCGAGACTTTCATATGAACTCTTTAAACTACAAGTTTACCACGTTTCGTATCAACATTAATGTATAATGTGGCCCTGTGTGTATCTCTCATGCCAGTGGAGAGGGTATAGCAGACTGCATTTTCCGTTCAGATGACATGGGAGCGTTAAGGAGATGCATTAATGCCTGGATATTACTCTGTGGGTGCTGTGTCATTTCAGTGTGTTAAATCATTCAGGAGAGCTATGGCTTTTACATCCTCTGCCAGAAAAATACCCAGAATGCAGTGTGACAGTGCAGCCCCTCGGCCACGTCCACAGATATAACTTCAGCTTTAATATCTCGCCTTGTCCAATTTCTGTGGGCACGGGGCAAGAGGGGCACGAGAAGGGTTATGCATACAGAACATTTCGTGTTTCTCCTCTGGTTCCCACTGTAGTCGCAGTCCCTGGAGAGACACCCGGCCGCTCAGAGAGCTCTGAATAATAAACTCTCACACAAATAGGGTGCTGTCAGCAAGCACTCATTTTAAGTGACTGGTCTCAGTTGCTTTGAGACTAGAATTGGGAATCAAGAATCGGATCTCTTTTTGAAATAAATACTGGAACCAAATGAATTTTACGACCTCATTTCTGTTAATGGTATTTGAAAATCTGTATTATTCTATTGATGGGATGTTGTGTAACACAGCCTTCACCGTTGTCATGGCGATCGAGACCACAGAAGATCTTTCCAGCATTTGTGATTCCTGGGCGTTTGTGTATTTTAAAATGTCTATTGTTGGTATATATTCCACTTCAGATGGTTTTGCATGTGTAAAATATAACAAATATTAAGTGGTAATTTTTCAACAGCTTATTGCGGAGAGGAAGCCTGCATTTGCCACAGAATAAAAAAAAATCAAAAGGTAATAGTAACTTTTTATCCCAATTCAGACTTTTCTCTCATAATTCAGAGAGAAAAAAAATAGAATTGCAAGACACAAACTCAGAATTCTAACTTTCTCGCAATTTTGAGTTTACATTTCGCAATTCTGACTCTTTTTTTCTTGGAATTGCACATTTATATCTCGCAATTCTGCATTTATATGTCACAATTCTGAGTTTATTGAGATTCTGAGTTTTTCAGAATTAGAAGAATGGTCTCAATTGTGAGATATAATTTCAGAATTGCGAGAAAAAAAAATTCAGAATTTAAAAAAAAGAGAAAGTCACAATTGCCTTTTTTTTTTTTTTTCATGCCGACAGTGCAGCCCCTCGGCCACGTCCACAGATATAACTTCAGCTTTAATATCTCGCCTTGTCCAATTTCTGTGGGCACGGGGCAGAGGGGCACGAGAAGGGTTATGCATACAGAACATTTCGTGTTTCTCCTCTGGTTCCCACTGTAGTCGCAGTCCCTGGAGAGACACCCGGCCGCTCAGAGAGCTCTGAATAATACACTCTCACACAAATAGGGTGCTGTCAGCAAGCACTCATTTTAAGTGACTGGTCTCAGTTGCTTTGAGACTAGAATTGGGAATCAAGAATCGGATCTCTTTTTGAAATAAATACTGGAACCAAATGAATTTTACGACCTCATTTCTGTTAATGGTATTTGAAAATCTGTATTATTCTATTGATGGGATGTTGTGTAACACAGCCTTCACCGTTGTCATGGCGATCGAGACCACAGAAGATCTTTCCAGCATTTGTGATTCCTGGGCGTTTGTGTATTTTAAAATGTCTATTGTTGGTATATATTCCACTTCAGATGGTTTTGCATGTGTAAAATATAACAAATATTAAGTGGTAATTTTTCAACAGCTTATTGCGGAGAGGAAGCCTGCATTTGCCACAGAATAAAAAAAAATCAAAAGGTAATAGTAACTTTTTATCCCAATTCAGACTTTTCTCTCATAATTCAGAGAGAAAAAAAATAGAATTGCAAGACACAAACTCAGAATTCTAACTTTCTCGCAATTTTGAGTTTACATTTCGCAATTCTGACTCTTTTTTTCTTGGAATTGCACATTTATATCTCGCAATTCTGCATTTATATGTCACAATTCTGAGTTTATTGAGATTCTGAGTTTTTCAGAATTAGAAGAATGGTCTCAATTGTGAGATATAATTTCAGAATTGCGAGAAAAAAAAATTTAGAATAAAAAAAAAAGAGAAAGTCACAATTGCCTTTTTTTTTTTTTTTCATGCCAAAAACAGGTTTCCATAGAGAGATGTACTATTAAGCAACCACATTTACAAAAATAAAATGGATGGAAAAAACAAAAACAAAAACAAAAAAATTAAGTAGGGCCTGGAATTACTTGACAGTGTACTTTTTTTCACTTGGGCCTGTAAGTAACCACCCAGAACAACCTAGCAACACCTTAACCACCACTTGTTTTGTTTTGAAACTACCTAGCAACTCCCTAACAACATGCTAGTAAAAAAAAAACACTCAGACCACCTTAGCAACTGCATTGCAAACACCTCGGAAACCACCCTAGGCAACAGTATTTTTCATTCAGATTTCCAGGTAGAATCTTTGAAAGGAATCTGAATCAAAATCCTTAGAATTTGAATTCCCGTCCTGTGCACTTTTTATGAATTTGCCTTAATTTCTGTAGTTCCCTTTTCTTTTTACTCTTTTATTTCACTTGCTTTCCTTCCTCAATACTTAACTTTGAATATGATCATGCTCTTTTGGTTAATCAACACATCTTTTTGCCTTTTTTGCCGTGAAATTGTGAACATTTATGCTGCATAAGTTTAAAGGAAAAATGGAAAGTCGCTGTGGATTTGTATCGCTGTATTGTTAATGTGTTTTCTCCACATGTTTAATCATAATGTTTATAATACCGAGGCATTTTGGACTCAACAAGGCAGAAACAACTCAATTTTTGGGAGGAGGTAGTTTTATATCAGAATGATTGAAAACTCCAGGAGGCTCTGCGCGGGGACGACGCTGTTGTTGAGCTGTCTAACGTGGCACAAAGCATTGTGGGTTTGTTTATCTTGTGGGGGGAGATTGACTCATGCATACTCTGTTAATTAAATCTCAGTAACACGTCAAAGCAGGGCTAAGCTAATGTTTCCACCGGCTTACTCTTGAGGTAAGACGTTTGCTAATTCATAATGAGGGAATTAAAAGATTATCCTAAGAAGATTACAATGATGCATTGTATCACCAAAGTTTTATTACATATTATAAATAATGCAAGCCATTTATTTGCTATAATAATCACTGTGCTCAGAGGCGAGAGAAAAGCACTCGCTGTGTGTCAGGTTTTCCTGCGAGGGGCACTTCATCACTTTTCAAACCATCCATTATGAAAAAATTACCTTATAGGAAAACAGCATCATTTAGTGGTCCATCACAGGCTGTTGAGATGCAGGACGCTGCAGCCCTGCGGCGCTGATAGAGACTGCTGCATGCCTTCAAAGTCAATTCCAAACTAAACACATTTTTCTCTCGCTGAACATTTGATACTCATAACACCATTTTAATTAATGTGAGGTGCCAGGGGCCACTGAGACTTGATTTAATAGTAATTGTGGCTCACTGTTTAATTGCAGTTTGACACTTGAAACTTCAGTATAAGATACAGTGTGGCACAAACAGTATGATATAATTAAACCCAGTCCAAAAGATCTGCTGGAACATTAGGAAAAGAGATTCTGTCTGTCTGTCTGTATTATAATTTTTTTTTTTTTTTTGAGAATATCGAAAAGATTTTCCTGGCTATAAAATGTATATATTTATTTGCTTGTTTAAATTTGTATTTTATGTTTTATTTAAATAAAATCAGAAATTTTTATTTCCTGGCTAGAAGAAAATATTTATTTATTTATTTGATATATTTATTTATTTTTTATATATTTATTTCACGCAGTCATACCTCAAACTAATATCAGTTATGTGCAAAAATGGAAGGTTTTTAAAAAGCACGTAGCATTTAAAATTCATGAACATTATATTATAGAACAAAACCTCAGTCTGTTTAGAATCAGGACCATTTTGCAACCATTGCTAAGGTCTTCTGAGTGGTTACTATAGGGCATTGCTAGGTGAATACTAGATTGTACTGCGTGATTGGGTTCTATTTACAATTTAAATTTTATAATATTGTATTGTACACATACGAATCATATGCGTATTCTCCCAGCAATTACAAGTTTAGTTTTTTTTTGTCTCCTCTCTCAACAAGCTTCATGATTTGAGAAATCATTCATTTCTGTCATTCATATCTGAATCAATATTTCTTCCTAAATGCTATAGGAACTACAGTAAGTGTTACAATAGTAAACTCATGGTAGACTTTCATAAGGAGTAGTTGAGCATCTGTGCACAGATATAGTCACACGATTATTAAAAGAAACCCACCTTCTAGACTATCAGTATCTGGTGACTGGTGTCACCCGTGTTGGACATCCACGGCCGCTGGTCACATGAGGACACGTGTCTTATCGCCCCACAGCAGCCCTGACTCTGAAGAGGTCGTCACACTTATCTCCATGCTGTTGTGAAAAGAAAAAAAAAAATCCTGCTTGGATTAAACCTCAGGTGAGAAACCAGCCTGCTGGCCAAATATATATCGAATGCAGGATCAAACGCATGTTAATCTCCTTTGACTTATAAATGAAAGGATGGGTTGAGGTTTTTAATCAATTCTGGCTAGCAAAATGGACATTAAAGATCATGTGAAAGAAGTCATTTTGGTAAGATCTGTACAAATAGTGTCCTACAAGTTCCAGTAGTGACCTGTAGATGACAGTGTGGTTATTAAAACAGTTTAGCTGAGCAATGCAGTGAAGTACATTTATCTGACTCTTTCTAAGCTATTGAATTGCTCTACATGTAACCCAAACAGGTTCAGTGATCAGAAAATGGTTGAAAAGGGAAGGTTACTGAAGGTCAAATGATGTTGTTGTCATTGATTATAATGAGCAGCTTATGAAAACATCCCGGAAGGAAGAAGCCATGCCTGTGTGCTTTTATGGAGGGCTGTGGGCTGATTTACTCCCTCAGACGCCAAGCAGCACCTCAACGTCATACATTTTCATGAACATCATAACAAAGTCGTTTGGTCACGCCCTAAAAAAGATTGTACGGGATGGTAATGGACGTTGTGTGGAGTGCAGAAGTGTGTCGTCAAAGTCCTGGGGCTTCGGTGAAGAGATGTCTGTCTGTCTGCCAGGTCTGAAGCATAGGATGAGGCCTGACACTTTTGGCAGGTCCCTGTGTCAGTGCTTTAGCACACTCTCCTTTACAGATGCGACACTTTTTTTTTCTTTTTCTTTTTGTAATACACTGGTCCTCACTTTTCTCATCTTTCTTTACCTAAAGAGAACTACTTTTTTCTTTCTTTCGGTATTTTCATTATGTGTTTGAATAGTTTTCTTGATTTGTCCACTATCTTAAATATTTTATTTCAATGACCTTCTAAATAAATAAATAGTAAATTAGTCACATTTCAATTCAATTATTTTATCCACATTTTTATTACATTTTTATTTTATTATTGTATACATTTTAAGTATACTTTTTTATTATTTATTACAATAATTTTATAATATAAAATTACTTAAAATCACAATGAATTTCAGTAAATAAATAATCCTTTGTTAAAACAGTCAAATTATAATTTATTTTTTGCATATATTTTTAATGTATTTTAGTATGCTTGTCCATTATCTTAAATGGTTATTTCCAATGACCTTCTAAAATTATTTAATTAATTAAAATAAATAAACCAATTAATATTAAAAGTCAAATTATAATACAATTTATTTTATACTTTCTTGTTTGTATTATCAATGTACTTTTCAATATTTTATTAAGTCATCCACTATGCTTTTTCAATGACCAAATAAATAACTGAATAAATAAATAATGGTCAAAATAGTCACATTTTAATTCAAAAATATGTATTTTTCTGTATTTTCATTTTTAATGTATTTCTTGACTCATCCACTATCAAATAAATGTTTAAAATAGACAAATTATAAATTGATTATTTTATCCATACTTTTTCTGTAAACATTTTTCTTATCCCCTCCATTATCTTCAATTCATTTTTTCAACAAACTTGATTCTATGGATTAGAATGTGCTTTTTGACCTGGATGATGAGGTCAAAGGTCAAACTTTCCCTTCAAAGTATCTCCTTGTATTAATGGTAACACTTTTCAAATCTATCATTATTTGCTTTTGTCATAATCTATATTCCATTAATGTACAACAGTATAAAACTGTCGCAGGCCTTAGTGACATCAGCAGAGAAGAAAAGTCGTTTCAGAGATGGAGGAAGTTTGATGAAAGACTATAAAAAACTACTTTTTCTTTAGAATTACATGCACTGACAATATGACCAGGAGCAGGTATTAAGAAAGTAAACAAGATCAGTTTTGATTTCATATTGACTTTAACTATGTCCTCTTAATATTTCTGATTCCAGATTTCAGGAGGACTGTCAGGACAGGGTGTTGTGTTAATGTGAGGAGTGAAAACACACCCTTCGATGTCAGTGGATGTGAGCCGGTGACAGCATCATCACAAAACTTGCCCGTCACAGCCGGCTGCTTTGGCTTGGGCCCGTGGCTTTGTGGAGCCCAACGGGCCGCAGGCTGCCAGACCCTGATCAGAGGAACTTTCACGCCTGTCTGATTTCCATCAGTTTCATATTTCTCAACATAATCTCTCACTCTGCCATAGTCTATCTTTCATAGCATGCTTATCTCTCTTAACTCCATACTCTCTCTCTCCCTTTCACTTACAGTGGTGAGTTTGGAAATCCTGTTGTCAAAAAGAGCGTCTGCTTTGTGAGTGAAAAGGTCACTTTTTCCCCGCTTCTTTCCTGGAGCGGTCAGCACTACATGCATTTTTGCCCCGATATCACATTAATCTCTGGCTGCTCCGAGATTGACGCTTCTGACAATCTGACCCTCGGATTTTGGCGACCTCTTGACCTCTCCTCACTGGCAGCATGGTGGAGGTCACAGAGTGGTGAGAAAAATCTGACCGGGATGAACTAGCTTGTCAAACCGACCCATCATGCTGTCACCACAGCAACTATTACAAGGTCTGAATGTCTTTTTACTTTTCTAAGCACCATGATCAGGTCATCGCTACATCGCTCCTGCCTCCACAGGCAGCTGTCTACTAAAACAGTATCCTAACTAAAATGAAACCTCATAAGTAATTGATTTGGAACGCTCTCCATAGGCAGCAACTCCACTTATAATTGATTTCCATAGACACTGTTGTTAGCATGTTCTACACCTCTTAGCTGAGGCATAGAAATACATAGCATGCACAAATATTGGTTAAAATAGTCACTTTTTAAAGCAACAGAATGCACTTTTTTTTTTACCTTGAAATATCAGTTTTAAAATCAAACTGGATGGTACACTGACTTCTAATAAGGCGAATGGCTTTTGTTTCTTTCCAAACGTCTGCTCTAGGTCACAGAGTGGTGAGAAAAATCTGACCGGGATGAACTAGCTTGTCAAACCGACCCATCATGCTGTCACCACAGCAACTATTACAAGGTCTGAATGTCTTTTTACTTTTCTAAGCACCATGATCAGGTCATCGCTACATCGCTCCTGCCTCCACAGGCAGCTGTCTACTAAAACAGTATCCTAACTGAAATGAAACCTCATAAGTAATTGATTTGGAACGCTCTCCATAGGCAGCAACTCCACTTATAATTGATTTCCATAGACACTGTTGTTAGCATGTTCTACGCCTCTTAACTGAGGAATAGAAATACATAGCATGCACAAATATTGGTTAAAATAGTCACTTTTTAAAGCAACAGAATGTACTTTTTTTTTCTTTCCTTGAAATATCAGTTTTAAAATCAAACTGGATGGTACACTGACTTCTAATAAGGCGAATGGCTTTTGTTTCTTTCCAAACGTCTGCTCTGGGAATATTTGGTGTGAAATTCGGACAGCGAATTGCGACAGCAACAAATGCACGTGTACAGCGATCTACTGTAATTATGATAACTGTAGGGGGCTTTAAAAAAAATACATACTGTAAAGTTGCTCTAATAAGTGAATTATGTTATCCATTTTTTTCTGGAACATTTTATTTAGTTTCTATTTTCAGCATTCATTATTATGAATGAACTTTTTCATTGAATTTAGAAAATAAATAGCATTTACAAATATTGGTTAAAATAGTTATATTTTGGTATTTTATCCATACTTTTTCAGTATACATTTAAAAATGTTTCTTGACTAGTTTGAATTAATTTTTAAAATCACTTCTAAATAAATGCTGTGCACAAATATTAGTTAAAATAGTCACTTTTAAAAATTTGTATCCATATTTTTTTCAGATAATATATGATCAAATATATGAATATCTAGTTTTATTTTTTAAATTAATTTTTCATTGAACTTTCAAATAACTTAAAATAAATAGAGTTTTGGGTTAAAATAGTCATATTTTAGTATAATAAAAAATAAATAGTATGCAAATATATTGGTTCAAATAATCAGAGTTTTTTATTTTATCAATACTCTTTTCAGCGTTTTTCTTGTCTCATCCACTATCTTGAGTTGCCATTTTTGGGAATGTGTAAGATATGTGCAGCACAATATGTGTGTAAATGTTGAGAAAGAGAACGTCTTGTTAATATGGTACATTGCCGCCTAGTCAGACTAATGATTTTAAATTGTTAACTGCCCTCTGGTTATAGCTCAGCGGATTTCACAATATTTTAAAATCAGTCGTCCCGTATGAAAGCCAGAGTTAACAAATGACATTTGAATCAGCCTCTGTGATCGAGTACCATAATGGATTAAATAGCCCTGACATTTCAACACATGCGCCACATTTTACCTCTCATCTGTCACTGTTACACCACATGACCTCTGTGCTTTTAATCTCTTTCTTTCTCTCTCTCTCTATGATTGCGATGTCCAGCTCATTTGTATGCTGTCCTAGTCTGACTATCTTGCTGGTGGCTGGAGCCAAAGTTGTGGCATAGGATAGATTTGAATAGATATTAGACTGAATCTCACAAAACTGTCAAGACCACGTCTGGGTCTTATTTCAAAAGAAATTATATTTTGTTTAAAGAAAATGAAGCCTATTTTTAGGACCATAAGGATTTTTGTTTTGCACTGTGACATTATTACATCACAGTAAAGCACATTCCTCCCAATTCTTATTACTCAGTTCTAAATAAATAAATAAATCTCATTCTTATTACCGTAGACTGGAGAATGTTTGGGAATTTTCTTTTATTTTTTTCTTTCTGATAACAAATCATTATTTTTGCTATTCAATTTGTTGCACAGAAATTACTTATTTCACCTTTGTCATGCAAATAATGGCAAAAGTGTTTTGCATGCTTCGTAAGTAGTATTTGAAGATGTGTAATATAAAGTAGGACCCAATCAATCAATCAATCAATCAATCAATCTCCTTGCTGTAGACTGGAGATCATTTAGAAGTTTATTTATTTATTTTTTCATTTTTGCAATTCCATTTGTTGCACAGAAATAACTTTTTGCTTAAGTAAATATAATCAATACACTTTCACACACACACACACATACACACACACACACACACACACACACACATTCTAAATATATATAATTCAAATATATACAATTATATATATATATATATATATATATATATACACACACACACACATACATATATTGTAGTGTGTATACACACACACACACACACACACACACACACACTAACACCACTAAAGGTATGTATATATCCATCTCAGGAACCGCACGCCAGTGGTTTGAGTCTTACCTCTCAGAGTCTTACCTTGAAGGACCTCTCAAGGTATCTTGAAGAGGTGAGGTGTCCAAGTCGCAACATCTATATACTGGGGTGCCTCAGGGCTCAGTTCTTGGACCACTTCTCTTCTCTGTCTACATGGCATCACTAGGTTCTGTCATTCAGAAACATGGCTTTACATATCACTGCTATGCTGATGACACTCAACTCTACCTCTCATTCCATCCTGATTCCATCAGCTTGTCTAACAGACATTTCTTGTTGGATGACCCACTGCTAAAAGGACATACTATCACAACAAAATTAACAATTCGCCTAACTCTCGCATGCTCTTTAAAACATTTTCCTCCCTCCTTTGTCCTCCTCCTCCCCCTCCTTCATCAACTCTAACAGCTGACGACTTTGCCACATTCTTCATTAATAAAATTACAAACCTCAGTGCACAATTTGCCACACCACAAACTGTCAAACACATCTTACCAGCAAACATACACTCGTTTTCATCCTTCTCTCCACTCTCTGAGGCAGAAGTCTCTAAACTCATCCTTTCCAATCATCCTACTACTTGTCCGCTTGATCCTATTCCATCTCATCTCCTTCAAGCCATTTCTCCTGCCGTTGTACCTGCACTCACTCACATCGTTAACACATCCCTTCACACTGGTGTTTTTCCCTCAACATTTAAACAGGCTCGTATAACCCCACTTCTTAAGAAACCCACTCTTAACCCAACTCTTTTAGAGAACTACAGACCGGTTTCCCTTCTACCTTTCATTGCAAAAACACTTGAACGAGTTGTGTTCAACCAAGTCTCAGCCTTTCTCACACAGAACAACCTCCTGGACAGCAACCAATCTGGCTTCAGAAGTGGACATTTGACTGAGACTGCCTTGCTTTCAGTTGTTGAAGCCCTAAGACTGGCAAGAGCGGCTTCCAAATCTTCTATACTTATTTTGCTGGATCTGTCTGCTGCTTTTGATACGGTGAACCACCAGATTCTCCTGTCAACCCTATTGGAAAATGGCATCTCAGGAACCGCACGCCAGTGGTTTGAGTCTTACCTCTCAGATAGGTCCTTCAAGGTATCTTGGAGAGGTGAGGTGTCCAAGTCGCAACATCTAGCTACTGGGGTGCCTCAGGGCTCAGTTTTTGGACTACTTCTCTTCTCTGTCTACATGGCATCACTAGGTTCTGTCATTCAGAAACATGGCTTTACATATCACTGCTATGCTGATGACACTCAACTCTACCTCTCATTCCATCCTGATTCCATCAGCTTGTCTAACAGACATTTCTTGTTGGATAACGGACCATCGCCTTCAACTCAACCTGGCTAAGACAGAACTGCTTGTGGTTTCAACAAACCCATCACTTTATCAAAATTTCACCATCCAGTTAGGCTCATCAACCATAACTCCTTCATAAACAGCTAGAAACCTTGGAGTTGTGATTGATGATAAGCTGAATTTCTCAGACCACAATGCTAAAACTGGGGTCCTGCAGATTTGCTTTATACAACATTAGGAAAATCAGGCCCATTCTTTCAGAACATGCAACACAACTCCTTGTTCAAGCTCTTGTTCTATCCAAGCTGGACTATTGCAATGCTCTCTTGGCAGGTCTTCCAGCCACTTCTATCAAACCTCTACAATTAATCCAAAATGCCGCTGCAAGATTAATCTTTAATGAGCCGAAAAGAACACATGTCACACCTCTGTTCAACAATTTGCACTGGCTACCAGTAGCTGCTCGCATTAAATTCAAGGCATTAATGTTTGCCTACAAAACCACCACTGGCTCTGCACCCATTTACCTAAATTCATTACTTCAGAGTTATGTGCCCTCTAGAAGCTTGCGTTCTGCAAGTGAACGGCGTATTATTGTGCCATCTAAAAGAGGCACAAAATCACTTTCACAAACTTTTACATTAACTGTTCCCTCCTGGTGGAATGACCTGCCCAAATCAATCCGAGCAGCTGAGTCCTTAACCATCTTCAAGAAACGACTAAAAACACACATGTTCCACCTTTATTTGACCCTCTATAAATAAAACCTTGCTACTTGTTCTGCGTTAGGCTAAGACTTGTTTGTCATTTGCACTTACATATTGTTGCTCTTTTGTTAGTTTTGATTGCTTCTATTGTCCTCATTTGTAAGTCGCTTTGGATAAAAGCGTCTGCTAAATGACTAAATGTAAAAGTAAATATACGCTATATACAGACAGACAGACAGATAGATAGATAGATAGATAGATAGATAGATAGATAGATAGACAGATAGATAAAAACTGTTGTATCTGTTGTATCTGTAACTGTTGTGTAAAGTATCACACATATTATGGGATCCATCTGTGGGTCACAAATTCTTTGGTCAGTCTCATGCAGGAAGGTGAGAGGGAGAAGGGGAAGGCAAAATCCACCATCACCCTTCATCTGTGTAGCCTTGAGAAGGGGAGGGCAATGCCTGCTTCCCTCTCTCTTTCGTCTTGGTACAGAGAGAGGCAGGGAAGCAGCAAGGAAAGAGGAACGGCAAGACCGGATCTGGAAGAATACCTTTGCAATAGCAGATCTGAAAGTTTCAACTCCAGCTGAATACAAATGAGGACAGGCTGGGCTGTAAAGGCAGGCGCAGGCTGAGTTTCTCTCCATGAGCACACACTCGCTTCACGTCAGGGTCCTGATCACAATGTTGGGGTTCAGTTTTCAATAACGAGTGATTATTACACGGCTGCATATAAATAAATAAATGGACATGAAATATTGATTGGATTTTAAATTAGTTTATTATGTGAGCAGAAAGAGAGCGCAGAGTGGTACGAGAGACTTGAAACTATCACAGCTGTGTTGAAAATCATTTTGCTGGGACGATGCTCAATCATACAGTTTAGCATCAATATGCAAAAATATTTTGGAATGAAAATGATTTTTAATAAACAGCAGGTTCAAAATATCTGTATGTGGCTCCGAGTGTTTATTCTGGCAATCGATTTATTTAATTACATCTGGATAATTTGGCCAGTGGGCAGTGATATACAAATAATGGCCAGACATTTTAAAATAAAAGTGACTTGCAAGTTTACATTGATTAAATAAAAGTGTGTTTGAGTAGAATATATGATTATTCAAAGATGGATACATTTGAAAGTGTATTTGAATTTGATGAAGGAAAATAAATGCACTGAAAACTTGTGAAAACAAAACAGTAGACTAATTTTTGTAGACTAATAATTGAGACATATACGGTGCTGACGCTTTAATGAGAGTTCTTATGACTGCAATCAAAACATCCACATGAAATTAGATTTTAGTGCTGAAATGATTTTAATTAGGGAAATCAAGCTGTCCATAATTACAGGAGCAACAGAGGTCTCTCTCCTCTGTGTCAGAAAGCCACAGGACACTTGATGTACGTCAGGACTTCATTAGTACAGACAAAGAAAACAGTACAACTCTGCTATTTAGTTTCCCTCAAGAAACTTTTTAACAACCCCTCACACATTCTAAGCTCACAGCTGAAAACACCTCAACAACCCTCCTGTCCTGAGCTCCAGTAACTTCGCTGTTGTAACATTGTTATTTGGGTTTATGTATTTGTTTATGCATTGGATAATTGTTCAGTTATAATTCAGCATGAATGTATGAAACGCACACACACATACATACATATATATTTTTTCTCCTCAATTAGGCTATATCCCACCAAAGGTAAACGACGTGTTCATAAATATTAACAATAATAATAACAGGAAAAAGTTAGAGTCACATTGGTTTGTACAAGTTAATATGTAGCATGTAAAAAGTATATTCATATATGTGTATATTCTCCCCCCAAGGAATCTCCGGGAACTGCGTATGGAAACAGTGCAGCTGGATCAACATGCCAAGGAGATGGAGAGAAGACTGGAGGAGCTCAGACAGCATATGAACCAGCAGAAAGAGGAGAGGGAGTGAGTGAAACATGGAAGGGAGGGACAGCTTGTTGAATTAATGAATGAGTGAGAAGATGAATAAATTAACGGGCCAAACAATGACTGTGACAGAGAGCGCTGAGATAAAAGAGGAAAGGTAAACAATGAAACGACAATGAATAAAATGAAAAACGTAGGAAGAGATAGCAAGTGAAAGAGAATGAGAGACTGTGAGGGTAGGTGTGCAGGCAAAGACAGAGGGACTTCAACAAATAATTCACCCAAAATTAATATTCTGTCAGTGTTTTTTCACCCTTCCAAAACCTGTATGCAAATATTTTTTTCCCTATACAATGACAGTTTAAAGTGACTACGGCTGTCAAACTTTAAAAAAAAAATCTGCATAAAAGTCCTCTAAAGCCATACATTTACATTCATTTATTTGGCAGACTTTTCTCCAAAGTTACTAGCGTTGCATTGAAGGCCCTCCTTGATGTGATGTCATTTTAAAGTTATACATATTTATGTTTAAATATGAACTTGAACAGCAAAAATCACATTGGATCTGATATTTTCATTTCCTGTTTGAGTCACTTTTATACTTTGTAACACTTTTATGTGGCTTTGTAAATATACATTAATCTAACTTGACATTCGTCATAGAAATGCCAGTGCCAATCAAACCCAGTGCATACGTGCTTTCTTAAGGGTATGGGTCACCTAAGTGCAGTAGCTTGTAGAAAGACGCTGACATATATAGTTAAAGGTCGCCAAAGACAACCTAAAGTTCTCAAAGACACCATCTGCATTAAGTTCCCAACTACTGCACATCCATACAGTTCTGTTCTGTTCCTTAGAATTTATCTGATGAAAACGTGTGGGTTAGTTTAAAGGAATAGTTCACCCAAAAATGAAAATTTGCTGTAAAATTTACTCACCCTCAGGCCATCCAAGATGCAGGTGAGTTTGTTTCTTAATGGGAACAGATTTGGAGAAATGTAGCATTCCATCACTTGCTCACCAATGGATCCTCTGCAGTGAATGGGTGCCATCAGAATGAGAGTCCAAACAGCTGATAAAAACATCACAATAATCCACAAGTAATCCTCACCACTCCAGTCCATCAATTAAAGGTGGGGTAAGTGATTTCTGGTAACCAATGTTGACATTTGAAATCACCAAAACAAACACGCCCCTACCCCAAAAGCGTCTCGCCCCTATTTTGATAGCTATGCCCCACACATACGTATGCAACCTGTTTTTTCACCCTTCCAAAACCTGTATGCAAATATTTTTTTCCCTATACAATGACAGTTTAAAGTGACTACGGCTGTCAAACTTTAAAAAAAAAATCTGCATAAAAGTCCTCTAAAGCCATACATTTACATTCATTTATTTGGCAGACTTTTCTCCAAAGTTACTAGCGTTGCATTGAAGGCCCTCCTTGATGTGATGTCATTTTAAAGTTATACATATTTATTTTTAAATATGAACTTGAACAGCAAAAATCACATTGGATCTGATATTTTCATTTCCTGTTTGAGTCACTTTTATACTTTGTAACACTTTTATGTGGCTTTGTAAATATACATTAATCTAACTTGACATTCGTCATAGAAATGCCAGTGCCAATCAAACCCAGTGCATACGTGCTTTCTTAAGGGTATGGGTCACCTAAGTGCAGTAGCTTGTAGAAAGACGCTGACATATATAGTTAAAGGTCGCCAAAGACAACCTAAAGTTCTCAAAGACACCATCTGCATTAAGTTCCCAACTACTGCACATCCATACAGTTCTGTTCTGTTCCTTAGAATTTATCTGATGAAAACGTGTGGGTTAGTTTAAAGGAATAGTTCACCCAAAAATGAAAATTTGCTGTAAAATTTACTCACCCTCAGGCCATCCAAGATGCAGGTGAGTTTGTTTCTTAATGGGAACAGATTTGGAGAAATGTAGCATTCCATCACTTGCTCACCAATGGATCCTCTGCAGTGAATGGGTGCCATCAGAATGAGAGTCCAAACAGCTGATAAAAACATCACAATAATCCACAAGTAATCCTCACCACTCCAGTCCATCAATTAAAGGTGGGGTAAGTGATTTCTGGTAACCAATGTTGACATTTGAAATCACCAAAACAAACACGCCCCTACCCCAAAAGGGTCTCGGCCCTATTTTGATAGCTCCGCCCCACACATA